TTAGACAGTGGATGTAATTCCAGGTACTGCAGATTTGGACTCCCTTTCTGCCTCTAATTATCCTCCCCTTAAATAGGTTCAGGGGAGAGAGCAAGCCCAGAAAGAAAACTCCAGGGTCAGCTGGACATTTCAGAAAAGTTATTTTGTTCAACTTGTGACCAGACCTTCCACAACCACCAGAAACAGGTAAAAGCCCAGGTGCAGAGGTAAATTGTGGAAGCAAAAGTAAATGGTGGGTGAAGAGAGGTAGATGTACGATTTATGTTTAATAAAGGTTTGTGTTTTGATTAAGGCCTTTGGGCGTTATCCAACACACCCCCTGGAGTTCTGTCTCTGGTCGTGGGTACTAGAGGGCCAGCCTGGGGCATATTTCTCCATTCAGCCTCCCCCTTTGCCTCCTACCAACAGAGGGAACATTATAAGCTTGACTGGCATCGGTTTAACCTAAAGCAACGTCTCAAGGACAAGCCTCTCCTGTCTGCCGTGGACTTCGAAAAGCAGAGCTCTGCAGGTGATGGCCAGCAGACCTGTGTTGAGTAGGGGGTGGAGGAAGGCCCTATCCTAGGAGTTTGCAGAAAGGTCCAAGATGGAACACCAAACTTGTGCACCTCATGTTGTTTTCAGGAGATCTTTCCAGCATCTCAGGATCAGAAGACTCGGACTCAGCCAGTGAAGAGGACTTGCAGACACTGGACGAAGAGAGGGCTGAGTCTGAGAAGCCCGGCAGACCCCAAGGCTTCCACCCCCATCGGGTTCTTTTCCAGAATGCCCGGGGCCAGTTTCTTGATGCCTACCGCTGTGTCCTCGGCCCTCGGCAGGCAAGTGGCAGTGCAGGTTGTGTGATCAGCTGTAGACTTTTGTACACTCAGCCTAGAGTTCCCCTAAACCCAGTCCATTTCTTGCTTTTCCTCTTTCTTCCTGTTGGATGTGGGTATCACAATTGACAGCACAGTCTCAGATTGAATTGGCCTGAATCTGGGGTCAAGTGCAATGGAGTTAAGTTCAGAAACAGACCAACCTAGGTTTGAATTGTCATTCTGCCCCTTGATCTTGACCAGCTCCACAAGCCTCAAATTTCCTTACTTGTAAAATGGAGGCAAGCCTCAGGGTGGTTATATGAAACGAGATAGTGCATGTGAAACTTAGCCCTGGCCCTTATTTTCTTACTCTCAGTGAATGCAAGATGGGTTTGTGCTGTCCCTCTTGTCATCCAGGTGTCCCCAGAAGAGCCAGAACTGCTGCTACAGAACCTGCGAAACGGAGGTCCCAGATACTGTGTGGTGCTTATGGCTGCAGCGGGGCACTTTGCTGGTGCCATTTTTCAAGGGTGAGAGAGGGTGCTGCGTGGGTGTAAGGATGGAATGGACCCGGTTAGCCTGGGAGTATGAGCTAGTTTCCGGTACTGAGCCTGTGTTGTCTACAGAAGAGATGTGGTGATACACAAGACCTTTCACCGCTACACGGTGCGGGCCAAGCGGGGCACAGCCCAGGGAATTCGGGATGCCCGGGGTGGGACTTCTCGTTCTGCCGGAGCCAACCTGAGGCGCTATAATGAAGCCACGTTATATAAGGTGAGTTAGGCGTCCCAGATCTGGGGGTCCACCAGTGTGCTTTTTACCCCTTTCAACTCGTCAGATGTTGCGGGGTGGGGGGGCGGGGGGAGCCGGACTCCTGTATCCTCCCAGTCTTCATTATTTCTGAGTAGGTGAAGGGAGACAAGGGACTGATACCCAAGGAACTTAGCCTTCTCATTCTTCCTTCCCCTTTGTTAACCTTCTATTTCCCATCCCTTACACATCATTTGTGGGTGATTTTTAGTTGGAGATTTAAAAACAGCAAGTGAAGATACACTGGCCTGAGTTACTCTTTTCTCTAGGATGTCCGTGACCTGCTGGCGGGGCCAGGCTGGGCTAAAGCACTGGAGGAAGCTGGGACAATACTGCTGCGTGCCCCCCGCTCTGGCCGGTCCCTGTTCTTCGGAGGCCGTGGCGCACCCCTGCAACGGGGGGACCCCCGGCTTTGGGATATCCCTCTCGCTACCCGCAGACCCACCTTCCGGGAGCTACAGCGTGTGCTCCAGAAGCTAACCACCTTGCATGTCCATGGTGAGCCTCTCTGATCTAGATCCTCAGACTCCCTAGATCTTCCTGTACCTTCCAGCCCAAGCTTTGGTTTCTCATTTGTACATCCAGACAGCATCTTCATGGAGAGAAACCTGAGCTGGCTTCTCCTCAACTCAACTTAAGAAACATCTTTTGTTTTATGGCAGAAGGAGACCCCCGGGAGACAGTCAGGTTGGACTCCCCTCAGACACACTGGAAGACCACAAGAGAGAAGGCGGCGGCCACCGAGGCAGAAAGAAAGGTCTCCGGTGATGAAAATGAGGCACTTGGGCAGAATGAGGAGTCTCCCAAACAGGGTTTGAGCACCATCTGACAACTGTCCAATCTCTGTCTGGGTGCCTATCCTACAAATGCAGTCAGATCTCCTGTGGCCACTTCCCTCTTTTTTTTTTTTTAAGTAGGCTCCATGCCCAGCGCAGAGCCCAACGCAGGGCTTGAACTCACCACCCTGAGTTCAAGACCTGAGCTGATACCAAGAGTCGGACGCTTAACCGACTGAGCCCCCCGGGCACCCCACTTCCTTCTTTATAGATGAGTCCTTACACAATACACACACCGTTATACACGCACGTAGGTCTGTTATGATAAGGGGTACACGGTAGCAATTATTGAGATGTGTTTTGTGACCTTTCTAAACTTCCTGTTCTCTTTTGTTCATTGATGTATCCTCAGTACTTAGAAAACACGAAATAGTATAAGCAATAGATGCCTGTGTTGCGCAAATCTTACATAACTGACCCGTCTTACCGGACAGTGTGGTTTGGAGCTAAGGCTTGCTTTCCCTCCTGCAGACTTGTAGTCTGCGTGGCTGTCACTGCTCCCGTGCTCTCCTCTGTTATGTACCATCCTAAGGCTGCTCACAGGGAGAGTCTAGGGACGCTTGTCCCAGCATAGCTCCTGCTAGGTCTGTCCTTGTCTGAGCTGCAAGCGGAGAGCTTCCGCATGGGATGCTAACGGATTCAGCTCCTGGTGCGCTACTTTATCTTGGTTGACAAAATACAAATACTTAATCTAATGTCAAGACAATCTGAATGATCTCTTTATGTACATTCTTACGCATCTGGGGCAGCGCACATACTTCCACCCTCTGTGTATATCTTTAGAGGGACTTAACATGTTACATTTTTCCCCAGGTTCAGGGTCAGAGGGAGAGGACAGCTTCCAAGTAGAGTTGGAGCTAGTAGAGATGACAGTGGGGACCCTGGATCTTCGGGAGCTTGAGGTATTGCCAAAGCGGAAGAGGAGGAAAAGGAATAAGAAGGAGAGAAGCCGAGACCCAGAGGCTCTTCCCCAGCAAACGCAAGGAAATGAGGCCTCCTCACAGTCCTCCCAGGAACAGGCAGCACCTCTGGGGCCTTCCCTGGATGAGGCCAGGACCCCCGATCCGTCAGAGCTCTGGGACATGCTTCTAGCTGCTTGCCGAGCCGGAGATGTCGGGATGTTGAAACTCCAGCTAGCTGCCAGCCCCGCAGACCCCGGAGTTCTGTCTCTGCTCAGCGCCCCCTTGGGCTCCAGTGGCTTCACGCTCCTGCACGCGGCAGCCGCAGCTGGGAGAGGCTCAGTGGTTCGCCTGCTGCTAGAGGCGGGTGCTGACCCCACTGTGCAGTGAGTAAGGCCAAGCCCTTTGGGGTATAGAGAGGATCATCTGGAGGCTAATGTTGGTACTGGCTACTTGACAGTCTTCCCCTTGATCTGGGTCGGTGAGGTTGGGAGATGCAGGAAACAAGTTGAACCCATTTTTGTGTGGGGGCTGGGGTGTTTACACTTAGGGACTCCAGGGCCCGGCCACCATATACAGTCGCAGCTGACAGGTCAACACGTAATGAGTTCCGAAGGTTCATGGAGAAGAATCCAGATGCTTATGATTACAGCAAGGCTCAGGTAAGCTGGGAAAGGAAGCAGCAGCAGAGCAGGAAGCCATCATGGATCCTGCCTAGATCGTCCCCACTTTCTTACAGTTTTCCCAAAGGTAGCGTGTATGGGTCTTACCTTACACCTCCTGGCAATCCTCCAGGTGCCAGGGCCACTGACACCAGAAATGGAGGCACGGCAGGCTGTGCGGAAGAGGGAGCAGAAGGCTGCCCGGCGGCAGCGGGAAGAACAGCAGCGAGAGCGGCAGGCGCAGGAGGAGCGGGAGCGAGAGGAGCGGCAGCGCTTTGCCGCCCTCAGCGATCGCGAGAAGGTGAGGCCGGCGGGTCCCTCTTCCACAGCTAAGACCTCCTTAGACGTCTGACCCCTTCCCTGTGCACAGCTGTCACTTCTGGAACATCCTGTCCACCACTGGGGCCTTGTCCTTAACATGACTTCTCTTCCCCGCAGAGAGCTCTGGCTGCAGAGCGCCGACTGGCCGCCCAGCTGGGAGCCCCCACCCCTCAGACCCCGGGCTCTGCAGTCAGTGCTCCGTAAGTGCAGAGGCAGGCGTGACGGGTGCGCTGTGCTGGGGCAAGTAGAACGAGTGCCTGCAGAGTACTCGGAAAGGCCGTTGAGGGGACCTGAGATGCTGAGAACCCTCTGCAGCAAAACCAGAAATGGCGGGAAGGCTGATGGGGAGAGCTTGGACTGGAAAGTTTCTGGGGTACCTGTTCAGCCATTTGTGTTCCTCCTGTTCAGACGCTGCTGGAGTTGCGGGACATCCCTCCAAGGCCTCATTCCCTTTCACTACCTCGACTTCTCTTTCTGCTCCACACACTGCCTCCGGGATCATCGCTGCCAGGCTGGAAAGCCCTCTTCCCGATCTCTTAGGGCTGTGCCTGGGGCCAACTCTGGGCCCTGAGAGGGTGCATTCACGCTAACCCTAGGTTTCTTCTTTCCCGTGAAACCAGAGCGTTTGGAAGATTAGGGAGGACACTCAGGAACCAGGGCAAAGACAGAGGTGTGTGGAGCGGGTACTATCTCTGGAACTTTAATCACAATAAAGTTTGGCAAGGAAACTGCACTTGTACTTGCATTCAGGCCTTGTGGCCTTTTGTTCCTCATGGTCACTGGGGCCAGCACCAAGGGATCCTGCCCACTCCGTGTCCCAGGTCCAAGGGTTATCTTACTTTCAGTGCCCACTTAACTCCATTGGTTCAGAGGGATTTTGTGTATCAGCTGAGAGGGAATAGATGTATGTCTTATGCAAGGTGCTATTGAGGATAGGCTTATCCAGAAACTGGATTTTGGGCTCAGGAGGCACATTTTCTAGCTCCAGCAATGTGATTTTGTTGAGGGCTCCCCCAAAAAACAGCAGGGGTCTTGGCACATAGAGGGTCTGTTGTGGCCCCTGCCTTGTCCAGTACCGGCCCAAGTTAAACCCATTGATCCAGACTTGGCCCTGGCAAAGAGAGAAGAAAATAAAGGGTCAGCTCTCAAGGGGGTAGAATCATACCCTTTTGGGTTTCTAGTCAGAGGAGTAATTTCTGCTGCTCTGTCTTCCATGATTTTCCTCTCCTCACTCTGACCCTAACCCCACTGTCAGCAATACCTTGGTCCATCCAGGTAGAAAGAGAAAAGTGTCCCCGCCTTCTCCTAAAATTGGGAACGTTGTGGAGTAGAAGGTGGGGCCGGAGGGCACTTGAGGATGTGAACTTCTCGGCAACTCAAGGGGAAACCACGTCTTCACAAGCTTATCAACTTTCAGAGGGAACATCAGCCACTGGGTAAGGACTGTTTGCCCCAGAACTGGTGGCTCTAATAGGCCCTGTGAAGAAGGGAAATGAAAATTCATTATTCATTAAACTCTTAAAGTCAAACTGTCCCTAATCAGGCCTTGAGCTAAACTAGTGGCCATGTCTAGATCCCCTCAAGTGACTACTTTGATGCCTAAGTCCTAACCACATGGCCCTTATTTATCTTTCATTAGGCCCCTATCTTTGCAATGGCCTTTGGTCAGTAAGAGTATGGAGGAGAAGGGGGTGCGGACAGCTAGCTCACCTTGAAGTCACTGCTGTTGGACCCAAAACTGAGCCTCCCCATGTTCTCCAGCAGGATGTCCAGTGTGGCCCCTATATTCCCCATCAAAAACAGTTGGTGTCTCATGTTTCGTTCCAAAACACCCTGAAACACCTGTGGATAAAAGTATCTGTAACCGGAAGGACTCAGCATCTAGCCCGTGGCCATGACACAAGACACTACGTTTAGCACCTGGATTTGGAGAGCAATGAGAATATAGCCTATCTGTTAGTTACCCATCCATCCTGGAACCTTAGCCTCAGCCAAATTCTTCCTCATCCCAGCTTATCCCCGGACCCCCTGAAAATGTGGGCAGACAATGGGAAAGGTAGATAAGGGGACCTTAAGGCTAAAGGGTGCTGAGGAGGAGAGGAGATGGCCTCACAAGGTTCTTACCCCATCTACCATCACATAGGCACGGTCATGGACTCCATTGTTAGGCACCCAGAATTGTGTTGGCTCAGAAACAGTATAGGTCAGATAGGTCCGGTACAACATAAAGCCAAAGTCCTGGGTGTGGAAGAGTAAGTACTTAAGATGAGCTGAGAGGTAAGAAAGGACACCATGGAGAAGATGTGAAGCTTAGCGAACCTTTGACTACAGCTGTTGATGAAGGCTGCCATACCTACTGGATGTGGATTATGCCTTACCTGTTTGACAGCCTCAAAGGTCATTGGCAAGATTGAACGGATGGGTCCACGGGGGCACAGGAAGTCCAGGAAAGTCAGCAGATCCCCATCCTATTCAAATAAGGGAAAGTATCAGAATAAAGGGGAGGTTTCAGAATAGAGGGCAGGATAGGCTAGGCCATTTAGAGAATAAAGGGATAGGATCAGAGAAAAGATGGGGAAGAGCTTACCAGGTGCAGGGTCAAAGGTCCAAACATCATCTTGGGGCTGGGGGGAGGTAAAGGTCCCAAAGGAATTTCCTGGAACTGAGCCCAAATTCTCTCAGAAGCCATAGGAAAACCACACAACCCTTATTCCAAGGCCTAGCACAGGCTTCTCAACCTGGGGTCCAGGGAAGGGCTTCATGGGGTCATGAAGATCCTGTACTTTTGTACACACTTGTGTGTATCTTCCCAGGTAGTCGCTGTTTGGGTGGGTGGGGAAATGCTTCCATGAAGCTCTGTGGCCCAGACAACAACCAATGATTTATGGGATCCCATTACAAACAATTTAGGTACTCTCTTTCCCCAAATTAATAAAAGCCTTTGGCACTTAATGAAGTGGTAGGGCACCTCGCTGATGACATTTCGGAGAGCAAAAAGCTTAGGTGTAGGGTCCCCTGCTTCAGATATTGGTGCATCATAGTCATAGCTGGTAGTAATTGGAAGATAGCGTCCCTTGTCATCAGCACCTGGGGTCAAATCAATTTTATTAATTCACTATCTTTCAAATCATAGGTACTAAGCAAAGAAATTCCTGCAGAGAATTTTGCCGTCCGAGGGGACAGTGGTGGCCACATCCAGCTTCTAGACCTCTAATCTACCTAGCCCTCATATTCTAATTCCTTGATACGTCCATCCCTGCTTCTACCCTAGAGACCATCTGGACTCACCATTCCAGTATCCAAAGTTGGTACCTCCATGGAACATGTACCTGAAGAGGGGGGAAGGTAGGGGGAAAGACAAAAGCTGACCCACTGAATCTTCATTTTCATCCCTAACACCACCCAGTTACAGCTTCATGTTGGCCCCCGTGTCCCCAGTTACATGTTCACACTGGCTCCCAACTTCAGCATGTTCTCTAGACCTTTGGTTACAGCCGAAATGGACCGCATGGAGTGATTCTGGCCCCAGTAATCCAGCCAGCCCGTGTAGTATTCAGAGTTCACCTAGAAGGTGAAGTGAAAGAAGCCATAAATGAAATGGGGAGCTGAGCTCGACCCATTCCCAACCCTGACTCCTGCTTTGACTGCCATGCCCTCCAGGCTCCTCACCAATGGCCCATGGGGTTCATACTTCCGAAGCAGGGCAAAGATTTTGGTCATGTTGTCAGCTGCAGAGAGGAGGCAAAAGATGAAAGGTAAACACAGAAGAAGTGCTGCTTCCCTAGACTCCACTCCTAACCCTTGCTCAGGAGACCTGGGCCAAAATCGACAGTGGTATAGAGTCCCTGGAGGGAGCCACATTTGAGTCCTTCAGGCCCATCTGTGGTGAAGAGCAAGATCCTGTCTCCTAGCAGCGCACGGAAGAGCCCGGCCAAGTGTCTCATGTAGGTGAAGTCACAGGCTTTGTAGCTACCATATTCGTTCTCCACCTGCCAAGCAAAAGGAAAAGTAGAGCTTGGCTCTGCAGTGGAGGTTAGGGAACCCTGGCTCCTCCTTCCCCTTCCCCAGTCAATTTGTACCCAGTCACTTGTACCTGAATGCTAATGATGTTGCCCCCATTGTGGTAGAGCCATGGATATAACTTGGGCAGCAAGACCTTGAACCAGGAGTCCACTGCGGCGAGAAAGTCTAAAGGAAGGAGAAGTACTCTGCTCATTAGGACACCACTGCCTCCACAGCTCCCACCCACAGCATCTATGCCAGCAACCTCAGTGATGCCTGAACCCTGATGCCCTGAACTGCATCCCACTTGTCCACAAATAAATCCGAGAAGCAGTGACTCTGAAGCCCTAAGCGCTTATGTATTTGCACGGCAAGGACATCTGGGCATAGGAAACCTTGAAGCACCATTTCTTGTAAATTTAATTTTTAAACATAAAAAAAAATGTTAGATGCATCATATGAGCGATTATTATGCAATCAGTGTATACTCGAGAGTGCTGTGAAGTAGCATGGGAATTCACAGAAATGTAGAATATCTGACCTGCACCCTAACGTAAGTGACGATCCAAGTGATTTCAGTCATCAGTTGAAACATCATTGTATTAGGTATCATGTCTTAGGTATCACCGCCAACTCCTATTTTGTGATTTTTGTTAATTCATCCTCTGCCTGACATTTTCTCCCCACCGTCCTTTTATCTAGCCAACTCCAATGCAAGCTTCAGATCTTTACTTATTTCAGCTCCTCAAGAAAACCTCTGATATCCCAGATGAGGGTAGATGTCCCTGTTACACACTCTCACATCACCTCATCCTTTTTGAAGCATGTAATGAATGATAATGAAGCATTTATTTCTATAACTGTTTCCCAGCAGTCGCTCTCCCCCAGTGAGCAGGAACCTTGTCTGTCAGATTCTTTTGCTGCATCCTATCACTTGGGGACAATGCCTAGCAGGTAGCAGACTCTCAAAGGTGGATTCAATGAAAGATGTGTTGGAGGATATTTTTGCATTAAAACACTGAACCCCTTTACATTTTGTGTCCTGTACACAGGGTGTCCAGGTTTCACTGCCTCCTTTAACGCAAGCATATACTAAATCTCACCCAACAAGTATTTCTCGGTGTTTACTGTATGCCAAACAATGTTCTAAGCATTGGGGATATAGAACAAAATACACAAAAATCTCTGCCCTTCTGGAATTTTCTTTCCAGTGAGGAAGGCAGACAATAAATAAATAGCTAAAAAGTATAGTATGTTAGTGCCAACAACAAAAAAATAGAGCCAAGAAGGAGATATATGGTGGGAGAGCTTAAATTTTAGAGCATAGCCCAGGGAAGGCGTCATAGAGGAGGTGATTGTGCAGGAAGACAGAGGGAGCACCGAGTGCAAAGGCCTCAATGCAGGAATGTGCCTGATGAGTTTGAAAAACAGCAATGAGGCCAGTGTGAACATGAGGGAAAGAGTAGATGTCAGTAGGTGACCAGGCCAATTAGGTAGGCCCTTATAGGTCATTTTAAGGAATCCATGGTTCATATTCTGGATGAGATGAGAACCTACTGGAGAGATTTAAGTAGAGAAATGACATGATCTGAGATACATGTTTAAACTAATATTTGTATTGAGAACAGACTATAAGGGGTGAGGGGCAAAGAAGGGGAAGCAATAAGGAAGTTATTCAAGTAGTCCTGGTGGGAGAGGTGGCTTGGACCAGAGAGGGTGATGAAAAGTAGTTGAATTCAATATATTTGGAGAGTAAAGCTGCAGGATTTTGTTGGTTGAATGTGAGGTGTGAGAAAAAGGCGTGAAGAATACCATAGTGTTTATTTAGCCTAATCAGTTGGAAAATGGAGTTGCCATGAATTGAGACAAGATCATAGGAATGGCTGGTTGGGGAGGCAATACCAGGAATTTAACTGTACCATTGTGCCTTTTAGGTCTCCAAACATGCAATTAGATATGTTTTTAGAAGCCAAAGGGGGCGCCTGGGTGGCTTAGTCGGTTAAGCGTCTGACTTTCCCTTAGGG